AGTTGGATTGTACTCAAAAATATGAGTAATTGAAAAATGGTTCAAATACATATGTATACATACACACCTTTTTACCAAACTATCGTTATGAATCTATTTCAAAAATTTTGTTGGCATTAAATGACTCAATGAGGTTGATATGCTATAAAACAAAATAACCAACCAACCAAATCTCACAGAAAAATGAAGAATGTCTGCTATATTCTGTTTCTTTTTTCTTTTTATCTGCTGTCTTTTCACGAGGTTGGCGATCATGGCTCTCCACTACCATCATCCCTTGTAGCTCTCAATAAGTTTCGTCCCTCTGCCACGCCTCGCAGACCACTTTCTGTCATCCACTTGCTTAAACTCGTCATGCACGTCATGCGTTGCATTCCTTCCTCTCTTTCTCTCTATTCGAATTGTTAGTATCATATTCTCTAAGCCCTCCTTTCTCATTACATGTCCCAGCCGTTAATAGGCAAAATCAAGACACTCACTCACTAAAGGTAGGCGAAGGACAAAATAAATTAGGCAGAGAAAAAATGAAAAGGCTGACCCCAAAAAGAGAGAAATAAAAAAACAAAGTTTTGAGGTAGGGAATCTTGACAGGGATCGGAACAGAATAGCGGAGGCAAGGCGGGAACAACAATTATTCATATTAACTAAGGTAAACAAAGAGACTAGCTTTACCAGGGGTAGGGGGTCCAACAGGAAACCGCCCCGTTGTGTCAAAAGAAATTAAAAAGGAAAATCAAGACTGGCCCCATTCAAACGGACCTCGCTTTTACCCATCTTTCGTTGAAATCTGCTAATAGAAAAGAGTGCCATCTATCATATTTTCTTAAATGTCGAATATTATTAGTACATTTCCCTCATATGAATCTTTAAATATTTGAAATACGTTTTTCAATTACCGTTGGACTCAGCTCTGTCATGATGTCAAACTTCTCTCTTCCTGGCTTCTTAAATATATTGTCATAGCCAAATGTCTACAACTTTCCATCGCTATCACCAGAGAGATGTCTCTAATAGACAAAACATTTACAGATAGAAGAAACAAAAATATTCAAATAGACGCGAGTTAATAATACACACACACGCATATATATATATATATATATATATATATATATATATATATATATATATATACATGCTCCTGAAAAAAATTATTTGTGAATTTGTAAACAGTGACTATTACTGCTGCTGATGCAAGACCCTTCGTCAAGACGAATTGAGTTCTCTACTCACTGGCGTTAATATAAAAATAAATACGTCTAATTTCACCTTGCTGTGGGCAAATGGAGTAGGGTAAAATCTCCGACTGATATCAAATCAGTCGGATTTCGATCCCGGCATGAGGCAATCGGATGTGTGGTCACATTGATGAGTCAGTCTGCAGAAATTATATATATATATATATATATATATATATATATATATATATATATATATATATATAATATAATATGGCCACAGGCCAATCACTATGGCAGGTCCATTTTCTTTTGTACTGCTCAGGCACCTGTGATTTATACTGCAACTATTCTGAGCAGACCTTAGTTACAGTTTCTGGGAGAGAGCGTGTTATCTAGCATAATCAACAATTTGAACAAGGCCATCACTCTCAAGCCCTCGGCAACGATAATTTATGCCTTTGTAATAGCTTTTTCCTAACTAATCGCTTGGGTCAATCCCAATGGTATGTTTTTCAGGCACGCTCAACCTCGATCTATTTCTGGCATTTTTCATTGAGACATCTTGAGATTCGAAACCGTGTCTCATGGTCAGAAAGTGAACGTTTTAACCACGCGCATATATATATATATATATATATATATATATATATATATATATATATATATATATATATATATATATGGGAATCCGCTAGTCTCGAGAGACGTAGGATTTGTGCCCGAAGACTTATGCTTCAGTTGTTGATTGCGAGGCAGCGTCTGTTATGTCTGAATAGGCCCAGCCGATTGCAGCAAATATAAATGAAGACGCTTTCTCCCGATGTCGCTTTGTTGTTTTCTTTCCATCGAGCACGCTTCTCTTCGGAGGCAAGCCTCGGTTTCTCCTCTCCACGCTCCATCCCTGGGTTTAAATCGTGTCTCCAACGTGAGCGATCGTTTACGACGTCTACCCACGTCTCGACGTACCGATGAGAGGAATCCTAAGGCCCTTATCTACGGGTAACTGGTCACCGGCAAGAGGGCACATAAGGATATGAGGGTTACATATATATATATGACGCTTCCGTATAGGATACAGGTTCGATTCAGACCGGTAAATGTTGTTAATACTGTTTATTATATACAGAGCATTTACTTAAATATTTGTAACTATAAAAAAGAATGTATAAAAATACCTTAAAATAATTGTCGGACTTTCATATATATATATATATATATATATATATATATATATTATGAAAATCCGACAATTATTTTATTATATATATCATGAAGGTCCGACAATTTTGATCTCTCCGATAAGGGCAAATTGGCCACTGGTGTCAAAAGCCACTGTCAGTATGTTGTTAACTGGGGCAAAGTATGACTTGTTAATTTTAACGCCTCCAAAACTAAACTGTTCTCTATTAGTCATCTGAGAGACCTCTTTCTGCCTTCCATCAGTATGGCTGATGCTAACCTTCAAGAGAATGGCTCGTTGCGTCTTATCGGGCTAACATTCTCGACTGACATGAAGACTATAGTGGGTTCATTGCTACATCAGCTGCTAAGAAAGTTGGTTTCAATCTGTCAGGCGAGACAATTTTTCTCCCCAGAATCTATCTTATATATCTATAAGTCTACCATTTCTTCATGCTTAAAATATTGCTGCCATATATGGTCTGGTGTTCCTGCTATATATCCTTGATAAAATACAAAGAAGACTCAGCAATATTATTGGCCTTGCTCTGGCCTCTCGGTTTCAGCTACTTTCTCACGCCCGAAAAGTTGGCTCATTTTATTCGGGTGAGCTCTTCGCTATGGTCTCTAGACTTTATGAATTTAAGCGCAGATTAGACTGGTGATGGAGTCTCACCAATTTACCGTTGAGTTGGCTAGATTTAACCGTAAGTTGTATGCTAATCGTTTTTGTTTTTGTTTTTTTTGTTGTTGTTTTTTTTGGTGATTCTTCCGATAAATGGTGTCAAGAAAACCTGTAAAAACGAAACTCAATTAATTTAGAGGTTTAGTGATTTTTTTACATATTAAACATTTTATGGGATGGGCAATTATTCTGTTACACCAGATATATATATATATATATATATATATATATATATATATATATATAATTAGCGACATATATAGCAATATATATATATATATATATATATATATTTAATACAAACTCACATCAATCCAACCAAATATATTAGCTCTATCTCTGATATTGAGCGCTTTCTAATAAGTGCATATAATATATATAATATATAAATAATTATATATTTATATATACACTTTTACACATATATATATATATATATATATATATATATATATATATATATATATATATATATATATATATTTTTTTATGTGTGCTATTTATGGGATAAAGTGCTCAATATCAGAGATAGCGTATTTTTTATGTAAATATAAAAGTGGACATTGAAAAAGCACCTAGAGGCGACAGACTGTTTCATGCTAGACGCAATCGTTAGGCCTGTCGCCTCTGAGTGTTGACTTCAATGTCTATTATATTTTATATATATATATATATATATATATATATATATATATATATATATATATATGTATTACCTAGCTACATAGATAAGAGCAAACACTGACATATATGAAAAGACATGTATATTAATATACATATATATACATAGATAGATAGATAGATAGATAGATAGATAGATAGATAGATAGATATTAATAAAGTGACGTAGAGAGAATGATTTGTCATGGAAAGATCCTGTTGACCATCGTTTTAGATTGCAATAATGATTAAATAATCCTACGGATCAATCTGTCCTGGATATTACTCGGGAAAGATGCGTAAAAATCTCGTTTGCTAGTGGAATAAAGCTTTGTCATCGTCTTTCATTTTAATACTTCCTGATAACGATCGATTGTCCAAACAGTTGCGAAAGTCTGCATGACGCTGATCCATATGTGTGGTACTAAGCAAGAACAATAACAACAAATCAGAAGTTTAAGGAAAAGAATGACTCATAAAACGAAGACATCTGGGAGGGGAGGGGGTCCGTATTAAAGAGATCCAAGCAAATGAGTGGGGTCTGATCAAAAAACGTTGATAAATTAATATAAAATGGTGTTCGCTTGTTAATTAAGTAAAGGTTGCTATTCGCTTGTTAATTAAGTAAAGGTTGCTATTTTGGCGTTTAACATGTTTTTAAAATGTCTTGTAAAATCCCTGCACTTTTTTTTTAGTTTTTCATAGGCATAAAATAATAGGATTCATATAAAAGCCTACTAAATTGTCATAATTAACAATAGCGATTTTTCACGGCTTATCGGCCCGTTGCAGGTTATTTAAAGCCAGATTACATTTTTGGTTATTAGAATTTTTTTTTGAGATAATAAGTATTTACTGGTACAAGTCCTAGTAATCAACCCATACCAGGGGGAGAAGAAGTGGGTTTATAACTTCCCCAAGGGTATTTGCGCGTAAGTGTGTTTAACAAAAAACGACCGAAATTTGAACCCTACTCTCTTATTTCCAATTCCGAGCCGTAATCCGTTATACCAACCGCAGATACAAAGTTTGGAGCAACCGCTATTGCAGGCCGCCACCCATCTAGATTGTGAACAGGATCGACGTTGCTGATCGTACAAGATCCGGTGCTTCAACGTGATTTGGCTGTAAACCTAAATCCCTTGGAAAGCTCATTGTATGTGGTGATATTGTTATAATACCCTATATTAAATAATGTCGGCTTTCAGCTTTCCAGTCATGTAGGCGACATGTACTATTTTCTATAGTTCTGTCAATGTATTCGTACTCCCAGCGATAACCACCCAATCGTATAGATGTCTCTCTCTCTCTCTCTCTCTCTCTCTCTCTCTCTCTTCTCTCTCTCTCTCTCAAGGACACTGTTTTCACGCCCTCTCTACACATCCCCCGACTTTTTATCTTTATTGCATGGTAACCATTTTTCCCCTTCCATTATTTTCTTCTTTTTCGTTTCTACTGCGTAACTCTGACATGAAGATTTTAAAAAAGTGTTGTTTTGAACAATGCCATCATCTGAATGGTTCCAACTCTTCACTTCCATTCCAAATCCGCCAGTTGTTTCCCAGGAAGAACCAAAATTAAAAGACTGGAATTTCAGGGAAGATATACAGGTTGTCCAACATTCGCTGCCGTAAAGGACAGATGTCACGTAATAACTCAGGTTAGACGATTTCTTCAAAGACGAAGAAGAGACTCGAGGCGACGGAGATGTTGTTCTACAGAAGGATACTAAGGATATCCAAGACAGACCGTGTGAGAAACGATGAGGCCTTAGAGAAGTTGTAAACAAGCAGAAGACTTATACTTAACATCTGGGACACATAATGAGGAAGGAGGGTTTGGAGAATCTAATACTCACGGGTGGAATAGAGAAAAAGAGAGACAAAAGAAAGCTGCGCGTGATATACCTGGCGATCTTGAGCAGGTGGATGACAGAACGTGGTCCAGGGAAGCAAGAAGAGGGAAGGAAAGGATATAGCACATAAAAAAAAAAAGATACAGGTTGTTCCATAATGATGGGGCACATTTTAAATGCAAATATCTTGGATTATAAAAATGTCATAGAGTACCAAATATATTTATTACATAACTGATATACAAGTATTTTACATTATTTACATTGTTCGGACTGTTGCCGTCATCTTTGCTGCCATATTCCCGACGTTTCGGCTGGTGTACGCTCTGTTCTTCTTCAGGTGATTGGAATTTCAAACTAAAGCTTTTATTTCGTCCAGCGGGGTAGATTGTTCTAATTCCACGTGCCGTGCCTATTCCGAATGTTTCAGTTATCTTATTTTAACTAAACTCTCCCAGATATTAGACTCACAACTCTTTTGGTCAAGTCACTGGTTCCAACGAATATATATCTACTAACTTTAATCCACTAGTCATGTGTCCTCGAGGACATCAGTATATGAATTTTTGTGACTTATAAACAGCCTCAGATTTCATTTTTTTTTACCAGGACTCATATTTCGTTGTTATTATTGTTTTTCTCTCGTTCTCTGTATTAATAGTTCCCATATTATATTCATTTCTGTACTTGGCTGGCTTAGAAATTGTTTGCGCACTAGCATATATGCTGATTACTTGAATTCTCTCATTTCCAGTCATGTTCTCTGTCTATTGCGTGAATATGGCAACAAAGCTGAGCCCATGTAATAGTGTAATTATAATACCTCATCTCAGAAATATAGACAAATATTGATATACAAGTGTTCAACATTTTACCTCTTATCAAATCAACATCAGAGGAATCAAAGCTGTATACTCATTTTCCACCAAGAAAAGTACTTTTAAGCCAATTTATTTACCATATTTGTTGGACACTCGAACCAAAACCTTTATTTAGTCCGCGGGGGGTCTATTGTTCTGGCAAATATCACCTGAATATGATAACGACCGTAACGACGTGAATATCGTAACTAAGATGAGGACAACTGTCTTATAGTGTCTTATAAAAGCAAATTTTTCCCAAACTCTTGAATCATTCATATCTGCTCAGTGTCCCAGTTACAATGTCTCGGATATTAAGGCCGATAGACAAAAATCAATAAATAAATATACTATTTAATAAACGATTCGTCTACTCAAATATGAATATTCATTAAAATAAGGTTTAAGTAATAAAATCTATCGTGTTAATGAATGAAGAAAATCCATCAATTTTTTTATATATATATATATATATATATATATATATATGAAAATATATAGAAAATAGGAAGGAACTGGTTAGGTAAATAATCCAAAGTTCCTTAGTATTTTAGTTATTATTTTTTTAAAAATAGTGCTCGATATAAAAGTAGAGCATAAATATAATTATTTATTTAAAAAATATGATTCCAACTCGCGACATAAGAGGTCTCATGTTTCAAAACAAGAGCCGAAAACTTCAATATAATTATTTGAATTAAATTGAGTTAAAGTAAAAGCTCTGTTCCATCTTCAAGCGAAATTTTTTTTTGGAATAACGTATTTCTGAAATTTACGTGTTTTTTTAAAATCAAAATCAAAATTTCCATGGTAACAGCTAGGGCGAATTGTTTAAATTGGGTAGGCGTGTGTTGGGTGTTAATAATAAGTATCAGTATAGAGTTACTTTCATAGATGTCAAGTCAGGGAAAGGTGGGGGTGTCTAAATTTGAAACGGAAGATGTATTAATCCTAGTCTGGTTTGCGTGTCTATGGAGATTTATTTATTTTTTTTTTTTTTTTTTTATGAAAGGGATTTGTGCATAAAAAAAAAAAACTGCCGTAACGTTTGTTTTTTTGACGACTTCATAAAGGGTTATCTTTTTTGTAGGGTATTTAAACTATTTATTTGGGCTATGGATTATGAAAGTTGTTATATTGTATGCTTGTTTTTAGTTAATTATTCAAACCATGAATCTGATGATTGGGCTATGGATTAATCAAGTTATTATATTGTATGCTTGTTTTTAGCTAATTTGTCAAACCAAAAATCTGATGATGACGACAAAAAACCGTTAACTCGTGTCTATTGTTTAATAGATTATTATTGTTTAGAAGTTTAATAATGTGCAATTTCTCATGGAGGCACAAAGGGCATGGGTCATCCCAAGTTTTACATGTTCTAGCCCTGTTTATAATTTTCCATTTTACTTTAGGTGTCCTATTTGTTTCTTTCAGATGCCAAAAATATTTAGATAGGGAAGTCTGATTTCTTTTATTTATATTATTGAAAGAGAACTTATACTGCCTCCATCTATCTTTAAAATCATTCTTCGTGGACCCAATGTGTATCATATTAGTGCTAGGACTCTCAGTGGATGATATAGTACATTGGTATACCACAGATTTAATGCAGCATTTATTTTTATTTTCTAATGGGCAGTCTTCTAGGTTTCTACAATTACACAATTTTTCCCTTTTATTGTTTGATTTAAGTGCAAAATTTTTTATTAATACTATTCAGGCATGGGGGTTTGTTCAGGATCTTATTATTGTGTTTTTTTATTGTACGTTCAAGATTTTCAGAGCAGCTGTAACTCAGTTTTAGGGTGTTCTTATTAAATATATTACTAAGCTTACTATTGGTGGGGAAGTGTTTATCAATTAGAGCTAAGAATTTCTGTCCTAGTTTAATACTAACCATTTGGTTGAACGGAGGGGTATACCAAATGATTTTTCTTTTCCTATTTCTTTTTCTTTTGGCCAGTGCAATCGTCTCTATAGTTAATGTTAGTATTTTTATAACCACTATTTTTTAGGGCAGTGTTATAAAAGCCATTGTGTTGTTGGAATATTTCCTTGTTAGCGGAGTTATTGCTAATTCTATTTTCTATTGACGAGGGTATATGTTTGATTATGGATGGAGGGTGGTTTGACTTCGGGTGTATATATAAAGGGTTAGCATTTGGTTTTCTATAAGGTTGGTATGTGTTGCCTGGTACGTCTAGAGTTACGTCGAGGAAGTTTACCCTTTTCAAATTAGAAGAGACAATTATCTTTAAGTTTAGTTTTTTAAATTCACTGAATATAATTTTTCTGATTTTGTCTATCTTAAAACTAGTAGAACTTCTCACCACCATGAGCCCGTCATCTCTATACAGTCCGATGTCCTTAATATCAATTTCGCGGTGTGCCGTTAAGTTGTACAGTATTAGAAAACCAACAAGGTCAGAAGACTCCGCAAAGTCTAATGATCCCATAGTGATGTCAAACAGGTCGTTATTGTTTTTTACGTTATTCCCAAAAAAATTCGCTTGAGGATAATGTAATTTTTATTTTAACTCAATTTAATTCAAATAATTATATTGAAGTTTTCGGCTCTTGTTTTGAAACATGAGACCTCTTATGTCGCGACCACAAATCATATTTTAAAAAATAAATATATATATATATATATATATATATATATATATATATATTTAATTTTTTTTAATTTATAACATAAATATTAATAAAATCACTACAAAAATTTATATTTTTTTTCAAACCTCCGGTGTCTTATAATTAATGATGTTGATTAATGTAAAATAAATGGTTTTAAAACTGGATAAGACCTAATAAATTTGAAACAAAATGGCTTTTTTTTTAGTGATTTTATAACATATTTATTTTATAATTTTTTTTTAAAATAAATAATTATATCTTTCTATTTTGTATTGACCTTACTTTTAAGAATAGTAATCGTTGGTTATTGGAATTCACACCGTATACACCAATAATATATATATATATATATATATATATATATATATATATATATATATATAATGCTGAAATTTAATTTTCTTGATAGTGTTGAAGTAATAAAATATAATATATCTTATTCTGCTTTCACAATTGAAGACATGTAGATGATATTCATCTTTTGTGCATATACATGTCTGCATGGGGTATTTTTCTTTTATTTGGCTCTTGTAATGGATAGTAAGTTGTTGTTGCTAAAACAGTTGCAACTGAATAATGAGTTCGATCCTCTTTCGGTGTCCCATACTTCAACCTTGTACCACATCTAAGCTACCCTTAGATAATCAATACACGTTTGCGTGAACATAATTACTAGAGGCAATGATATGTGTTTTATGTTCAAGTTATATTTTGAAATACGGTTTAATTTACGAAATTGTAGGATATTATATGGAATTCTTTCATGTTGATTCTTTTATTGTTGGTAATTTCACTATAAATTGGTATTATTGATAGTTTTTCATATAAAAATATATTGCTGGTGTTTTTACTATAAAAATGTATTTTTATACTTTCATTGTGTTTTGTTTTTGTTCACTATTTGCCCATAACTGGGACCCTAACAGGTGCTACCACCCCTGGTCAAGGTGGGCCCTGGAACAACAGCAATTAAGATGAGGTTCCACGCTCCTCAAAAACTTCGATCTCCCGATCAGAAGCCTTGCTGCCGGGTGTAGTTTATCGTCATACCCAGTACTAAAGAAAAAGAAGAAGATAAGCAATTATGTAGTCAGCCTGTAGCTAAATGCATCGAAAGACAGAAATATTTCGATTGTTATATTGATTTTCGATATTCTGATTAAAAATCTTATAATTCTGCTTGTTCCGTCCTGCTAGTACATAAAAAATAAGGGACTATTCCGGTTTGATGGCGTGAAAAGTCGAAAAAAGATATATCAGATATGCTATTTGGTTGACAAAAATGAAAAGAAAAAGAAGAGATTTAGAGAGAGAGAGAGAGAGAGAGATGAGGAATAGAAGTGTTTAACTTCTACTGCCAATATCTAATGAATAATGGACTATTCTGTTTGGATCGCTTGAAACGACGAGAAGGACATATTAGAGACGCTACATGGTTTCAGTGAAAGAAAGAAAGAAAGAAAGAAAGAAAGAAAGAAAGAAAGAAAGAAAGAAAGAAAAATGAAGAACTGGTTGGCAAAAAAAAGTCGCAAAAGAAAGAAAAAGAATGGAATTTAAAAAAGGAAAAAACTACGAAGTAAAATAAAGAAACAAAAAAGACATTGAGGAGCAAAAAACAAGTCGTCAAAAATAGAAAAAATAAGAACATAAAAAAGAAAATAAATTTAAAACCTGATTGGTAAAAAAGGCGGGAAAGAAAGAAAGAAAGAAACAAACAAACAAAGACGAGGAATAGAAGTGTTTAACTTCTGCCAATACCTAATAAATGATGGCCTATTCTGTTTGGATTGCATGAAACGACAGGAAATGCATATTAAGGACACTACTTGATTTCAGTGAAAGAAAGAAAGAAAGAAAGAAAAAAAAAAAGAAAGAATGAATGAAAGGAAGGAAGGAAGGAAGGAAGGAAGGAAGGAAGGAAAACTGATGCCGTCTGTTTCAGTGAAATGGAAAATGTTCTCAATTTCAAATCTTTTCATTTGTACCCCTTTATATCTTATGAGATTTATGATTGTTATTGCAATATTTTTGTTAAAGTTGTTAAGCTCACATATTTAATGACGCGATAGGGAAATTTCAACGGATATGTTATTGTCGTAGAACTCGCCATGAGCTTATTCAGTCCTTAACTTAAGAATTAAAATTCATCACACATTTCAAAAAGAGAAAGCGTGAAATTTTCACCGATATTTCTAAGACTTAATGATTTTCAAATGAATGACCATTTTAAGTGCTGTCATTAAAAGACAAAAAGCGTTTTCTTTCTATTCTTCGCATTTGCACTGGAAATTTCAGCCTATTTTAAAACTATAATGTTTTTCTTTTGTGCGAGCGATTCAGTTGACACCTTCTTTGGTCTTAAAAAGCAGGATTTACTGGTAATTTACCGTTATTTGCGGAAAAAGAATAGTTTGTGATAGATCAATGTTTACTGCAAAGCATTTTATTATATCTCTCTATTTCATTATGACTTTCAATCAGAGTTAAGTTGGAAAGACGCTATTATGAAATGGTAAAACAGACAAGATTTTCTGTCTATATCCTTATACACTCGACTCTTACCGTCGTTTTCGGTTCCAGGAACTCTGGCCTTCGATTATGTTATTTTAAATACTTTGTTTTAATATTTATTTTTTTCAAAAGGATTTTTATTTTTTTCAATTTAACTTTTTAAAATTTTCCTTTATTTAAATCAATGAATATTAACCTTTTTTTTTCATATAATTGTATTCCGCATTCTTTGTTTAATTCAAATTTTTTACAAAGTTATATTGAATTATGAATTTATATTGTCGAAGTTTCTGACATTCGACATTGAGCTTTTGATTTCAACATTTTCCAATTTCGGAAAAATATATTATTCCTAAATTTGTATAAAATGAAAATGCCAATAATTGTACTGAAATTGTTATTATTTTTTCAAAAGTAATCTTTTAGCGCACTTTTCACGACCCCGTAAATGAAGACCAAACATTGAAGAAAGCGCGGAAAAACACTAAGCACAGGTTTCACACTAAATAGGCTGGCATCTCGCTCTCACCCTTTCACTGTCGAAACTATTAAATATAGCCGTCTCTTCTACTCCAATAGCTTAATGTATTGCACCTCTCGCCTGTGGAACTCCCTTTCCTTTTCCTGTTTTTCTGATAGCTTTTAATCTACAGCTATTCAAATGTAATGTCAATCGACGTCTCCAAATGCCTTGATCTATCCCCTATCCTTCTCTTCATCCTTTCCTCTATCACTCCTCTTTGCTCTCGCTCCAACTCTCTGTAACCCCTTGCGTGCTAGTGGCTTTCAGCCTTGCTTGGGGTGAAACGCTTAAAAGAATAAGCTGCACAAAAAAAATAGTTGAATAGAAACTTTGAAATAAACTAAGTTCATATTTGTGTGTGAGTATATTTTTGAAGAATATGATTTTATTTATTTTATATATATAAGAAAACAGGAGACCTACTTTAAGGCAGACAGAGAATAAAGAGTCATATTTATGTATACCATGTAACAAATATATTTTTCTATACATAGGTGTCTTTGATCTTACTTTTTTTATGTTAATCTTTTCATAGTAACTGTAAACACATCAATGCTATTTTATTGAAATCTATCTAAATTTATTAATATCTTTCCTATCTATCTATCTATCTATCTATCTATCTATCTATCTATCTAAGTTTATTAAACTCTTTCCTATCTATCTAAGTTTATTAAAATCTATCTATCTATCTATCTATCTATCTATCTATCTATCTATCTATCTATCTATCTATCTAGGTAGTTAGCTAGCTAGCTAGTTAGCGATCTATGTAAGTCTACTCATTATCTATCTATCTATCTATCTATCTATCTATCTATCTATCTATCTATCTATGTGAGTCTTCTCGGCTATCTATCTATCTATCTATCTATCTATCTATCTATCTATCTATGTAGGTAGCTAGCGAGTTATGTCAGTCTACTCGTTATCTATCTATCTATCTATCTATCTATATCTATCTATCTATCTATCTATGTGAGTCTTCTCATCTATCTATCTATCTATCTATCTATCTATCTATGTGAGTCTTCTCATCTATCTATCTATCTATCTATCTATCTATCTATGTGAGTCTTCTCGGCTATCTATCTATCTATCTATCTATCTATCTATCTATCTATCTATCTATCTATGTAGGTAGCTAGCGAGTTATGTCAGTCTACTCGTTATCTATCTATCTATCTATCTATGTGAGTCTTCTCATCTATCTATCTATCTATCTATCTATCTATCTATGTGTGTCTTCTCATCTTTCTATCTATCTATCTATCTATCTATGTGAGTCTTCTCATCTATCTATCTATCTATCTATCTATCTATGTGTGTCTTCTCATCATCTATCTATCTATCTATCTATCTATGTGTGTCTTCTCATCTATCTATCTATCTATCTATCTATCTATCTATCTATGTGTGTCTTCTCATCTATCTATCTATCTATCTATGTGTGTCTTCTCATCTATCTATCTATCTATCTAAGTTTATTAAAATCTTCCTATACATCTAAGGTTATTAATACATTTAAATGTATACCCTTTAAAATTTTTACTAATTTTACTAAAATTTTGCTTAAATCGGGTGAGAAACACTGGTCTTTATCAGTTTATTTAAATCTCCGACTTCTTATTTTATGGATTACCAACCCTAAATAACAAAAAATAAGAAGCGAGAAATACTACGCCTAACTGAAGAAATGGGTTTAGTTCATGACATTTAAATGTATACCCTACAAAACTTTTGCTAAGTGTGCCTTGTTATTTTCAATGGCTCCTGGGTGTGCCGTTACTTAAAATGGTTAAGAGATACTCGCCTAGAGTATACTCCGAAACTAGCATATATGCCTTGTGCATATCTGGGGTTATTCTATGATAGACTCGATACACACGCACACACAGACACAAACACACACACACACACACACATATCTATATCTATCTATCTATCTATCTATCTATCTATCACTCTCTCTCTCTCTCTCTCTCTCTCTATATATATATATATATATATATATATATATATATATATAGATATATTACATACAGTAGGAATTAACATTTCTCTATGGGGGTTATGATCATTACACCTTAATAATTAAAATCAATAAGTAAGGATTTTCAAACCCATTGGGTTTATAAGAATATTTTTTTTTAATTTTTTCTTATTAAGCTAATGGGTTTGAAAATCCTTACTAATTAATTAATTAATCCTTAATTACCTTATTAATCCTTACTAATTAATTACTTAATTAGTAAGGTGTAATGATCATAAGCACCATAGAGTAATCTTTATTCCTGTTGTATGCAATGTATTTCAATGGAATATGTATATATATATATATATATATATATATATATATATATATATATATATATATTCAGGCATGTTTCATTAAATAATTTAGACACGTTCTGTCTACTTATTTTCGATAAAATCCTTTCATATTCACGAATAACCTTTTTCGTGCGGTTGTTAAAAGACGAGAGAAAAACACCGTGTTGGCTCATCTTGTATTTATTCCGAGTACTTTCGACATAGCATTTTGTCATCATCAGGATATTGTTAAATATAGAGTAAGTATTTAATCTTCATGGTTGTGAAGGACAAAAATTGTTCTAGTCATCCGAAGATTACCATTTTTATGTTTGGACTCAGGAACGTTGTGTCATTGCTAGTTGACAGACATCGTTTAAGGAGAGGTAACTAGGTATGCTGTAGAAATGTTCCGGGCTTGAGTAGGTGCTAGATAAAAGAAAAAAAAAACTATTAATGACAAGCACTAATTTTTAAAACTATCTATTGTACACATATTAAAATGTTTGTGGAGTATTCGTAACTAATTTTATTGATGTTTGGTTTCAATTTAATTCTAAAAATAGCTTCGAGAATTTTTAGTTTGTGTT